GGAGAGAGAGAGAGAGAGAGAGAGAGAGAGAGGGAGAATGAGAGAGAGAGAGAAGAGACATAGATACAGGCAGACAGACAGACAAACAGACAAAAGGGCAGAAGCAGAGCCGTGACAAGGGCAGAAAGACACTCGCAGTGAGGAACGAAGAAGAACAAGAACAACAACAAGAACAACAACAACAGCAACGACGACGACAACAACGACGACAATAACGGCAACAAAAGCAGTGACTGCGACTTGGATAACGACAAAGGTCAGATCAATTTCAGTCTTTACAAAGCACAGCAATACGAAAAGAAACCCGCGGAAAGTGAGATCTTACCGGGTGGCTGCCCAACCTGGCAGCTGCAGAAGCTGGGCGTCTGTGAGGCCGTTGATTCGACGTCTTCGCCTGGACAGGTTTGTTTGGGCCGTAGTCATCGCTCATCTGAAGTTGTGTCTGCTGCAACGTTCGCCGCTGCTGCTCCTCCTGAATAGCGTCTGAACCACAGTTGTTACTGCTGTTGTTGTTTAAGTTTTTGTTTTCTCTATGCCTATGTTTTCGTCGGTGAGAAAAGCGATGGTGATGTAAGTTGTTATTCACTTTTGTAGGTCGGAGGGAGTTAGACCTTTCATCATTGACCTTCATATTATTCTGAGGTGACCCCAAAGACAGGGATAAACCGCCCATATCAGGCCTGTCCAGCTCGTCCACAGATTGAATGTCTGTGGGTGCAGTGCTGCTGCTGCTCTCGAACAAGTCTTCAGTGACGGAACTTGTGTCTTCTGCCTGCGTAGCCGGCAGTACAACTTTTATTGTCGTCGGCATGATGCTAGTTCTTTCCACACAGTACAGAAAAATACCCAACTAGAACCTATGTGATACGAATTTTGAGATGTCTATAATAGTTGCAGATTTGAATGATTTCGCTGCTCATGGACAATCTCAAAAAGTCTATAATGTGCAGAACAGATATGAATGAGACCTCAGTCTAGTCTTCTTAGATTTTCTGGTACACCTGTCTTAGAGTTCATGTTGTGTGGTGTTTCGAGTTCGAAACATCTCTTTCTTGCAGCCGGCTAGTTTGATTTCGACAGCAGGGAGCCAGCGCACTTACTCAGCGAGAAACCACATTCTTGCTCTTGTCATCACATCAAACATTTTGGCTATGTTACCCTGGCATACTTCTGGAGAGATATGAAGACATCTGTGAAAAAAACGAAAGACGAAATATAGAGAACCATGTACATTTAAACATAAATCATGACAGGTATCGACTGCTCATTCTGAATTACTACAATTCAATTGAGGATTCTGCGTAAGTACAAATCAGGCAAAAATACTTGCAGTTATAAAACATACTAATGTTAATGGCAGTGTAGCAGCAAACAGAGCCGGACAAAGAAACCTCCGGAGATAAAAGTTGAACGCCAGGAATCGTAATAAATAGACAGCGTGCGATGCGATTCCAGGAGAAGGAATTCTGTTTTTATTTTGAATCAGATTTCCTGTGGATTTCTTTTTCGAAAGTAATGGGTTGTGTACTTTAAGCAGCCCATACATGGGTGAAAGAAAAAATCAAATGAAAAAGAATTGAGGTAAAATCGGTCGGGGTAAACATATCGAAAAAAAAAAGATAAAATAGTACGAACAAAATATTAATAACAATCGTAGTGAAACGTGTTTTTCCTAAATCATTACGGGTCTAGGCTGTGTTTTTACTGTTGCAGGGGCGGTGGGCTGGCCACAAGGGTGACAAAGCTGTTCTTATTTAACATACGTGGTCCCGATTTACAAACCGTGTAGCTAAAGGTGCTGCTTAAGGCCACTTTCCGGGTCGATTTACGTTTGGGGCTTTCGTCAAAATGACTTGATTTTAAAGTCAATTAATCCAGTTTAACTTGACTAGTTTGTACTGAGTGCTGATTGAGATCCTGCCATTTGATAGTAGTTGACACCCCTTTCTCTCATACTTTCCTATTTCTTGCAAGGTATCTATATACTCCAGTTTCCATGTTCATGAACTTATGAAAACAAGTTTAGCATATGGGTTTCTAGTTGTATTTGAATCATAATTCATTATCGCTACCTAAAACAAGAGGGGCGATGCAGTCCAAAATATTGAAGACAAACACGTGATTTTAAAAACAATCAATTTTGTGTAACCTTTATGAATATTGATAATAATAAATAATCAAATTCACGTCTTCATTTTAAACACACTGAAAATGAATAAGAAAAATGATTCCTTCTATGTTACACAAAATCTAAGAGTTGATACAAATAAAATTCCTCGCATGGCTTTACCCGTTTGTAACAACACATTGATCGTACACACTGAAAATAGTACCCAGTCTCCTGATCAGTCGAACTTACTGGTCAAAAGCAAAGACAGACACGTATGACAAAGAGCAAGTCTAACACCATGTATTTTCGTTTCAGTATAGTGTAGTTTTGGGTAGACAATAATTTCTCTACATATCAAAGCATAACGGTTGTTTTATGAATGCAAGAAAAAGTTACTTCTCGATGTCATATTCCCGAGTGACATTTCCCACGCATGTAGTAAAGACATTTATCTTGTGTCTCTGACACTTCGTTGGGACAGAAGACAGTAATGAATAGTTACATGGGGCGCTCGAGAGAATTCTTGATCTACACAATAAGCGTGGTCTAGCAGCCTGCGTGTCCTGAGCGGAGAGCTTTACACGCTTCGATAAGGTGCTGTTGCAACTGAGCCGATTTGGAGAATGTTCTAAACCACACAGGGAGGAAATTGTTGTTGTATTTCTTGCCCGAGTTTATGGGGCTTTACAGGACACAATTAGGTCAAGGAAAGAGGGGAAAAAAAAGAAGAGACGACATGCCAATGTAAATAATGTATTATATACACTGGAACATATTAGGAACATGTATGCTTAAATTATACGTGTTATTCCACCACCGCACACCTCGTATCCCCTACCCTTTCTGGTTTACTCTGGTTCAATTCCCACGTTCCACGTTAACCTTGATTCTGAAGGGGGGAAAAGGAGGCGGTTTGGGGTGGGGTGGGAGTGGGGAGGAGTTCTGGAGACTCTTCAAGTTTATAGCAAATACGACTAAGTAAGTAGCCCCGTTTCTGAATTTAGAAGTTCATAGGAGGAAACGGAGTAAGGAATACTTGCCAATAAAAATAGACTCTGTCAACGTACCGTGTACAAGAGCTACAGAGTCAGGGTATAGTGTTGATAAACTTACAACATAATATATTACATTAGAAAAGTTATACTTTTGATTGAAAGATTCATTCATGATTTTAAAATAATAGACGTGAAATATAAATTTACAATATCCAACCATGTACAGAGAGTATTCAGTAGTTCTCTCTCTCTCTCTCCAACCCCCCTTTCTCGACCCATCTCAAGGCCGAAAGAAATCAGTTATTGGTTTTTGGTTTGGGAAAACAAAAGACGACGGTAGCGGTTCTCTTGACCAGGCTAGAGAAAAGACCAATCTCGGAGTAGAGGTAGCTAAGACAGAAAGGGAAAAGCAAGACCAGTCGCTGTGGCACAGTGTGATACCAATAATTTGAGCTTCCACGCGTAAGTTCGAGGTTTGAATCCAAGCGTGGTTAGAGTGCTTCTCGTTCTACACTGGACACAGGGTGTTTCTTCGCAGCTCAGTGTCCTGACGACCAAGTTATCTAAGTAAGAATGGACTTGTAAGGAAAGGGCATTCATCAATAACATATAAGACAACAACTGTAAGTTGTTAAGAAATTCAAACACATTGGGGAAACTATAAAAGGAAAGAGAATGTCGTAACGGAGTAGATGGATGCTATAGTTTTTGAAACAATGGAAAAAATGAATTAAAAAAAACGCAGATTCGAGTCAAGACGTAAGCTGGGCCTTAAAACCCAAAGCCGTAACAATGTGAAAGTTATATATATATATAGCTTTACTGCTTCACAAATTTGGCGCTGCGAAACTTCACGTGCCTCCTTGCCACCTCCGTACCTCACCCCCATCGCCCAGTGGGAAATTCTGAAGCGTAAGATACAAGGGCAAGGGACAAAAATAAGGCTGGGAACAAACCAAGGTCTTCAAACACTAGTGCAAAAATGAAACGGAAAGTTAAAAAATACAAAACGACCCCCTGAAAAACAACAACAACAACACACACACAATCTCTCACTCTCTCTCTCTCTCTCTCTC